CGCATGGCAGGGCTACTGTTGTGCTGCGGCAATAATATATACTTACTTTTTTATGCAATTTGTGTGAATGGCGGGGGCTACCGGTAGGGCAGGGCATGCTTACCCTTTTCACGAACACCTGTCGTTATCACTGATATTCAGTGGTCCATTCATATAATTTTCAAAGCTATTTTGCCCTTTACACGAGATAAAATCAGTTATATATATATATATATCTATATATATCTATATATCTATATATATATACTGAACCGCAAAGTAGATATATGAGAAAACCTTATTTGTCCAAACACTGTATACATACTTTGAGACATATACTGTACCGCAAAAGAAACGTCACCCGAAGAAACATTGCATGAAAAGTTGTCATTTAAATATCCGGGTGATTGTTGTCAAAGTTTCTAAAATTTAACATTACCTTGTCCGGAAAAATGAAATTTGATGATAACAAAACAAAGCAGATGACAACAAAACCGATCGCCCAAACGCATCACGGCAACGGCCATGGTAACCCGATGCACGTTAGTTCCGTGCAAATTGAAATGCACATGCGTTCACCCATTCTTGACCTATAAAAGTCCATCCAGATCGGATAACATTCAATCGTTATTGAATTACTACCACATGCCAAGATTGACAAGAAATCAGTCAAAATTGGTGCCAAAATATATTTTCCAGAGTTACTTCCCTTGCTACATGATTTCATCCCCCTCATAGTGTCTGCAATGGGAACAAGTTTTCTCAGAAACTGCCGAAGTTACGTGAATGAAAGTTATGCAAGAGATACTTGTCAAGAAAGATTACAAAACTGTTGCCATAAATAAAGTTTTTTTTCCAGAGGTCGACCCCTTGCTACATGTTGTTTAGATTTTGTGCATACACATCTACGGCCTTTGATCCATGTCATGTTTTTTAGTGCATATGAGTGTGCAATGGGAAAAGTATCATCAGAAACTACTGAAGTTACGTGAGTGAAACATTGCAAGCTTATCTAAAAGAAACTTATTAGGACTGATTTCAAAAATCAGATTTTCTCATGGCAAAGAAATTCAATTGTTTTTCTTGTTAACATTAACTTTCATGCTATTCACTACTATATGAACAAACACAATTCTAATGTGCCCCATGGCGGGTATAATAGCAACACAGTTTTCTTGTTTGATATGGTGTTGAATAATGCACAGTCGCACATTCAGTGCAAAATAATTCCTTTGACAGACATAGAAACAACGTGAACCGAAGAAAACGTCATGCTGCCTATTTTTGAAATGAAACTCAAATATCGCATGTCAGACTTCCACTCAAACTACTTACAGTGAAAGCATATAATTTTAATAAGTAATCAGGCCAAGACTTCATTAAGCGACGGTTACAGATAGTATTACAGTTGATTCTGGCAAATTCAATTGTCTCTTCTGTAGGTATTATGTACGTCAGCCAGAAATGGTTATATTTCTATGTTTGTTTGTTTGTTTGTTGTTTAATGCTGCACTTAGCAATATTCAGGCTATATGACGTCGGTCTGTAAATAATCTGGACCAGATTGTCTGGACCAGACAATCCAGTGATTGACATCATGCGCATCTATCCACGCAATTGGGATACGATGACATGCATCAGTATAGTCAGCGAGTCTTACCGACCGATCCCGTTAGTCGCCTCTTACGCCAAGCATAGTCGCCTTTTATGGCAAGCATGGGTTGCTGAAGACCTATTCTACCCCGGATCTTACGGTTATCTTTGTCCAATATGGAACTATGTATACATAAGGTTTACATATGTCGTAAGTGTACATATGTGCAAACGTGCAGGGTTTTGCAGGACATGATTTCGCAATGATAGGCCAACTGATCACTGATGACTAACACTTTTTGGCGCCACAGGTTCATTGACAACTTCTAAAATCTCTCCCGTCACTTTCACTGTTTCTTCCATTACTAAGGCAGTTCTTAACAGGCCTTTCATCTGATGGTGATTATTTGACTTCATTTGTTGTAACAAAACTTCACAAGATGTTACTGCAGAAAATTAAGCATAAGCATGCACATGCCCATGTCATGTCTCCTTTTGAGGAACTAATTTATTAGAATCTGGATAGAGGTGAGCTTATTTCAGAATTCCAAGCAGGTGTCCGTTCTCAATATTCTACCATTGATCACATCTTCATGCATTATGTTCCAAATATCTCTGAGGGCCAAACGGCAGATTTTATTGTGCATTCATTGACAGGAAAAAATGCTTTATTTTCAGTTACAAAGGATGCCATGGTAAAATGTACAATTTGTGAAAAAATATATATGCATCTGTAAAAGAAGGTGTAAGGATTGGTTGCTTTAAAACATCTTTTATAAACACCTCTTGTAGGGTAAGACAAGGCTGCGTTTTGAGCCCTGTCTTATTTATATTCTTTATTAATGAGCTTGTGCTAGAAATGTATGCTGCTTGTGATCATGATATATTTGTTACCCAAAATATTGAAGATCTGATGTTACTCTTATTCTCCGATGACATTATACTTTTCTCGTACTGTTCGGGGCTTGCAGAGACAGCTAGATGTCTTAAATACATGTTGTTTGAAATGGGGATTGTATGTAAATCTTGTTAATCAGATGTTATTGTATTTAGAAATTGGGGGATAATAACCTAGTATGAAGCATGGGCACTGGATAATGTGAAGATAAAGACGGTAACATAATATAAATATCTTGGAATTATGTTCTCCTCACGGTTAATATGGTCTAAAGCATGTGGAACCCCTGCCTTGCAAGCACGGGAGGCAATAGGGCCAGTTTTTCATTTGTTTAGTAATAACAGATTTATAGATTTCTCGACTGCTTGTAATATATTTGACAGTAACATCACTCCAATATTGATGTATGGTTCGGAAATGTGGGGTATTCAATATTATGATATAATTGAAAAGATACAAATATGCTATTTTAAACGTTTTCTTGGTGTGGGTATATTTGCAGCAAACTAAAGCTTTTCTGGGTAAAGCTGGACGTCTTTGTATGTTTATAAATACGCATGTAAGGTTAATTAAGTAATGGATTAAACTTTTGCGAATGAATGCAAGTATTAGATGAAAATGGAAAATTCACTTGGGCATCGTATGTGAGAATATTCCAAAGTGTTGGTGATAAGAACATGTTTTTATATGCATTTAGAGATACACATATTTCCAATCACAGTTTAGAGTCACCTACTTTTTAGTGCATTTTGCTGATATAAAATCTCTTCTGCACCCGAATTATACATAACAGTACTCGGAGACAAACGAATAGTTAGAGTAAATTTCGAATATCTCTTCACCACTCTCGGGTAAACATTATTCGTAAACGGTTATTGATAAATATACCTCATACAGAATCTATATGTAAAGAACGTGACCTTCATTTAGTATGTAAGAAATATACTTACTTGAGAAATATTTTTTGTTACCTCATTACAGAAATAAAATACGTCAGGTAATATTACGTTTGCAAATTTATTTAAATCATGTGATATTAATGTATTCGCTTGATAGCTTTATATTTATTTAACTTATTTAAAATGAGATCGACAGAGATGTAACACTCTGGACAAGTGACCTAAAATATTACTGATATTACAACTGTACCATGGGCCATGTTGCCATAACTTCGAAATAAACGTGATTGATAGAGTACCGCCAGGGTACCGTCACTATTACCCCGCGATGCAGCTGGTTGTTGTATGGTTGTAAGTGTAAACATAAGTCACACGTACAAAATGTGTATACCTCCTTCGAGGTACAAAATAGGGATATGAGAAAACTATTATTGTTTGTTTTGTTTGTTTGTTGTTTAACGCCGCACTCAGCAATATTCCAGTTATATGACGGCGGTCTGTAAAATAATCGATGTGTCCCCCGCCGTTATTTTGCTGGAATATTGCTAAAAGCAGCGTAAAACCATAGTCACTCATTCATACGTTTTTCGAGGGACATTATTCTTGAAATTCCCTAAATACTGACGTACAACTTCCACATTTCACATGAAGGTTCATATGCCAATGAACTCATACGAAGTGGAGGTCAATTCTTAAATATTGTCGAGGTTTAAAAAACCAAAACAAACAACAATATATGCCTTCCTATGTGCTGAGATTCGAAGAATTGATAGTCTTATCTTATCTTGTGTCACAAGACCGACGACATTAACCTTTTAAGCTTACTGAAAATGTAAGTATCTCAACTGTTAAATGACCTCAAGCCATGATATACAGAGAGACAGTGATAAGAAGGTGTTTTTACTGACATACTTAGTATTTAGTATTTAGACACGAGTAAGCACCATCAAGCGCTGAGTAGTGTATCACCTCAAGGCCCGCAAGGCAGTGGATCCATCATCAGTCATTGACATTCCCGCAGGCTATTGGTCCATCCGCAGTCACTCACAGTCCCGCAAGGCAGTGGATCCATCATCAGTCATTGACATTCCCGCAGGCTATTGGTCCATCCGCAGTCACTGACAGTCCCGCAGGCCATTGGTCCATTCGCAGTCACTCACAGTCCCGCAGGCTATTGGTCCATCCGTAGTCACTGACAGTCCCGCAAGGCAGTGGATCCATCATCAGTCATTGACATTCCCGCAGGCTATTGGTCCATCCGCAGTCACTCACAGTCCCGCAGGCCATTGGTCCATTCGCAGTCACTCACAGTCCCGCAGGCTATTGGTCCATCCGTAGTCACTGACAGTCCCGCAAGGCATTGGGTCCATCATCAGTCACTGACAGTCCCGCAAGGCAATGGGTCCATCATCAGTCACTAACAGTCCCGCATGCCATGGGTCCATCCGCAGTCACCGACAGTCCCGCAGGCTTTGGGTCCATCATCAGTCAATGACAGTCCAACATGCCATGGATCCATCCGCAGTCACTGACATTCCCGCAAGGCAGTGGATCCATCATCAGTCACTGACAGACCCGCAGGCTATGGGTCCATCCGCAGTCACTGACAGTCCTGCAGGCTAAGGGTCCATCCGCAGTCACCGACAGTCCCACAGGCTATTGGTCCATCCGCAGTCACTCACAGTCCCGCAGACTCAGAGTCCACCCGTTGTCGGCGCCGATAAGGTCGCCCTTTCTCATATCCTCCATAGATGCAAACGAAATATAACATGGCTTTTGCCGCTTTAGAAACATGTACGTTACCGTCTTTTGTTTCGTGTATTCAGCAGACCTGCAAGTGTTCCCCTTCACCTCAAGGCATATCTTCTGGCACTCTTCAACACTGTCAACGTTGTAGAATCTCTCGTCATTATTGGACTTGACACCATGATTTGGATACACACTGAAGGTTGTGCCAAAGGTTGTACCTGGAAAGACAAATAATTAAATAGGTGAATAGCATGGGTTCAATTCAGATTTGAAAAGTATTTCAGTTATGTTTTGGCCTTCTGTGAGAGGAAACCACAGCACCTCAGGTCGCAGTGGTTAAACACGTTCTTAGATCACACGAATACGGGTATTGTACTGACAAACCAAGGTTCATAATCAGATCGAACTCGAACTCGCAACAAGCGGATCCTGACATCCCAATATCTGCACGGACCTGTAACCCATGATAAATGAGAAAACCGCAAAGGGTGTAACATTCCGACTAAATACGATATACTCAAAATGTACAATGTAAATGCAAAATGAACTATTGAAAATACGGATATTGGAGAAAGAATTGGGTGAGTGAGTGAGTTGGGTTTAGCGACGCTTTTAACAGTATTCCAGTTATATCGCGGCGTGGTAGCTTAATGTGGGAGGAAAGCCCGAAGTAATGCAGTTCTCAGACGTTTACCACTTCGGTGAAACCCACGAGCACGGGTATGGTGCTGACAAACCTAGAAACATAATCGGGGCGAACCAGGATTCGGACCAACAATCATAGGTTTCTGACGTCCACAAGGGACGCAACTCTGCACAGCGAATCGCGGCGCCTCAGACGACTGGGCCATCCGTGCCCCTTAAAGAAAGAAAATAGTAGACACAAGTATGTATGTAACTCGATGGGTGGATAATACGGGGTCGGGTGGTGAGGCTCGCTGAATTGTGCTGATGCATGTCATCGTATCAAAGTAGCTTAGATCGCAGTCTGGTCCAGACTCGATTATTTATAGACCGCCTTAAACAACAAACAACCGACGTGAAACAACACACAACCAGCAAAGATATGAGGCTGTTTGATCGTGACATCATTTCAGGTATCAATCACTTTATACGATCACAGTTACTTTTTTCAGTAAAGGTCCCCAGTATCTCCGTTGGTTGCTCTAGTCGTCTACAGGGGATCGGGTGGTCAAGCTTGGCAACTTTGTTGATAGCGTGTCACCGTACTCCGACAACGTGGATTGTTGTTCACTATATCAATCACAGTTTCGCCTGTCCAATACTCGATTATTTGCAGTATTATCAATTAGTTATTTGTGGTGTTCTCGACGTTCAGAACAGCCAGCTGATTAGCATCTTCCCGGGGCAAGAGAGTTAACTGACCATAAAAGTCCAGTTTCCACCCTTGCCGAACTAGGCTGGTATTATGGAGACTCAGTTATATTTTGGCTGGACTAACGAGTCTATGCATAGTCCAATCAAAATCGCGCACCGAAATCGAAATCCGGTTCGTAAAATGTCGTGCAGATTTCTGTCGATTGGAGGATGTGCAAAACATGTACACCGCCAACTCTTTGTCAGCAGATATTTTCCAAGTCTTTTCATGTGTTTAACCAAGGTGCTCACGTGATTTGATGCACTTCGCTATGTAAGACCAGTTTTATCACACTATAGATCTTGATTATCGATCAGATCGTTTTGACTGTGCGCCGCCATTTTGTTTGAAACAAATGCAAGTGATACGAGAGGTGGAATCTGATTGGTCCATATGAGAGGTTTAGAAGGGACATAACTCGTAATAACCACTGGTGGCGCTACAGTCGAGCCCAGGAATTCCAGCCTAGTTCGACAAGGGTGGAAACTGGGCTTTTAAAGTCAGCTAACTCCCTTGCCTCGGGAAGATGGCTGATGAGCTGTGGCCCGACAGCTGATCAGTTGTTCTTCCGGTGACAAGCCGAGACGCTAAAGACACGCCTGCAATAACTGTTTTAACTAATGACAAGGGTATCAATGCATACTTGAAATTTGATCAAGGGAAAGTTATTGGTTATTGGTTTGTAAAGCTGGTAGATTTTTTAAAACTACACTCATTCTCTGCAACTGAAATACACATATGATCATAAAACAGAATATGCAATGCATCCTTGAGAAAAGATCCCAAAATAAAATGGTTCGGTTGTTGGTTTTAAAAGCTGGCATCAAACAACACTCACTCACACATTCACCCACCTGTTCACTCACTCGCTCTGATATACCCGTATAAAAATCACTCACATAGCGTACATGCCCCGGTCGATGGTGAGTACAGCAGGCGTGGACGACAGTAGCATGTCCCACTGTAGCATCCTGTCCCCTCCATGTGGGTGTTACAGTCACGGTCGCTGGAACAAGCCTTACCTATGATGTGATGTTTCTTTGCTGAAATGGCGAAATAATTTTACAGGGTTTCCAAATGGTACAAATTTGTTTGTTTGTTTGTTGTTTAACACCGCACTCAGGAATATTCCAGCTATATGACGGCGGTCTGTAAATAATCGAGTCTTGACCAGACAATCCAGTGATTCTGAATCTGATACAAGTCGCTGCATCTTATTGGAAGGGTTTAGAATAATAGAATAACCCACGAGGTACGAGTGATTACGGAAAATATGTCACGAGTGAAATTAATGTTTTAAGTTCCGAACTTTAGCGACATGTTTCAAGAAAAAACAAACAATCAACTGTCGCCGATCAAGAATCAGCAGTTTTTTTTATCAATCTGCGTGTGAAAAAAACCTGTCCACACATTCAAACCGCATTACTCAATCCACGTCTTGCTACGCGTAAAAAAATATAGTTCTGTTAACAAAACTTTGAAGATCACATTATTGCAGTTATTTTTCTGTCTGAGTTACACAGCGTACACTATTTAGCGTTGATAAAAGAAGACAATTTTCAAAAAAGGGTCAACAAGGTTTTTATTCAAGGCTTGTTTTGAAAAGACCTCTCATTGTTAAGACAACAGCCGTTCGAGCGCTGTGGTTCGTCAACCTTTTGTCTGAGGACAGTCCAGCCCTGGATGCCATGGTCTTCATGAGAGAGCCTAACTTGTTTCTACCAAAAGGTTGGCGTTTAAACCAGGTGTTTTCAGATATTACGCCGAACTGTGTGTTGGGTGCAAGATGAAATGGACTCTCATCATTGCTAAAGTCTCGCGGGCGAACATCCCGATACAACCTGTAAACCGCCACCGGACAACGTTCGTCCCCAGGTTGAGCCCACGCTTTGGGTGCCAAGTCACGGGATTAATCACCATGCTGTGTTTTTGACTGACGTTCCAAATACTGTAAATATTCCTTATTATCGGAATCGGTTTTGAGTGTGACGTCGCCCCACTGCATGCGTCTGTGGGGCGTGGCCGACCTCAGTCCAAAGTAGACTGTATTGTTCCACCACAATGTCTTTAATTAACACAGCATCTGGAGATTTAGTGCCAAGCTGTCCGCATTCACAGAGTTTATTCAGTTCCATTTCGGACACAGGATCAGCTCGCTGGCGTATGTTTCCTTTTCCTTGTTTCTTTAATGATTTTTGATTTCAAAACCTCCCTCAGTTTAGCAAACTGCATAGATTCCGCCAGCAGATGTTTCTAATCGTGTCGCTTGAGGTAACGCTCAATGCTAGCCTTGATCCCCTTCAGAGTAGACGGTTCGTATTCCGAACCATCTTATTTGCGTGCCGAAATGAAAAAATTACAAAGAATAATGTTAAGTTCACTGGGGCTAATTTCTTCCTCCTTTCCAGTGTCATTTAAACTTTCCTGTATAAATTTGTGCACTAAATTCATATCAAGTTTAGTCTTTTTCATGGTGTTTTCGTTTTCATTGGCAGTTAAGAACGTTTCGATGTCATCATCGTTCACAAAGGCAAACCTGTCTGCATTCAGTCAGGTGTTTGGATTCGGGGGGTTGAAAATGTCGTCAAACAGCAAGTCCTCTAGCACAGAACTGGCAATCCCGGACTTGGTGGTGTTGACTTTTGCGCACAAGAAACAGGCTCTGGCAAATCTGAATCTTGGAACTTCCATCTGGCCATATGCAGTTTTGACAACAAATACATTAAATGTGTTCAGAGGTTGAATTATGCGAATAACTCTTCCTGTCAGATCTCCGTCCACTTTTACGAGGTCATTTACTTTGACAGGTGTCAAATGGTCAGCCATGTTTGTTTACAACATAACTCACACTTTCGGCAATGCCATTGGAATAAAAAGAAACTCATTTTGCAACAACTTTTAGACTGTCCGAAAGGCAAGATAAGATCCATTATTTCGTAGAAATTTGTAACGTTGTGTGAAAAAATAAGAACGTGACACTTTTTTATACAATGTATACGTTTTTGTAACCTCGGCGTCAGCACAGTACGGCACTGAGCGCCACGCAGACTGACTGACGTCCAGGCACCATGAGGGTAAATGACACAGGAAAGGTGGAACTAAACATTAGTCTTTGCAAATTTATCATTTCGGCTTACGCATCAGAATTCGAAATGAAGGCGATCAATGGTAGCATAGATTGTTTCCTCAGCGACATGATTACCAACATCTACTCGCGAAATCGATGATCCACTTTGCTGAACTCGGAGAGGTTTAGAAATTAACAAAAATAATTAACAACACAAGGAAAAGAAAACTTACCCAAGCGAGCTGATACTGTGTCCGATATTGGACTAAATAAACTCCGTGAATGCGGACATCTTGTCACCAAGTCTCCAGAAACCGTGTAAGTCTATCAACAGCTATTCGACCATTAGCCTGTGAATCACATCCAAATATCATCCCGTTATCCACTAGGCTGTGTCCACTCCACAAGCGTGTTTGACAAGTCCTCCTAAAATACCACGTGCACGTGTTTCCAATCAGTCACACTTGTCTCAAATCGCACACGATGTTCATTAAACCTGTTGTCGGGCTTAAACTGTAACGCCGGTTCTGTTGTCATTCCTGGTTTCGGCTGTCTCATATCTGGGTCAAGTCGGGTCATTCATTCCGACACTGTGACAGCAATCGTACTTTTTTAAAGTTTACCTACTTTTCGTAACTTTTCTCTGACAAACAGGACTTCTGTACCTTATTTCTTCTTTGTTATAGTTTTTGGCATTTTTTTCAAATGACACATAACAAAAATTGACAGGTGTTCCGTGTTTCCTCTTCTCAATGTGAAATGCATGTCTCTGCCGATGCACGACGACGACTGTCTGTCAGTGACGAGATCGTGTCAAAACAAGCCTTGATTTAAAAAAACAACCTGATGAACGTTTTTGGAAACTTGTCTCCTTTATCAATGCTAGATAGTGTACGCTGTGTAAATGAGTCAGAAATATAACTGCAATAATGTGATCTTTTAGTTTTTTAAGAGAACTACATTTTTCACGCGTAACTACGCGTTAAGTGAGTAATGCGATTGGAGTGAGTGGACAGTTTTTTTTTCACACATGGATTGATACAAAACAGCTGATTCTTGATCGGCGACAACGTCTTTAATATGATTATGGGTAATAAATAGAATAACCCACTCGGTACATGTGATTACGGAAAATATGTCACTCGTGAAATTAATGCTAAAGCTCAAAATTTAAAACATTAATTTCACTCGTGACATATTTTCCGTAATCATTCGTACCTCGTGGGTTATTCTATATTAACATTATGCTAACACGCTGTCGAATAAATGAAACACCATAACGTACACAGTTAAAATTTACACAAAGATGATGACATGTCAGTCTGGCAAAATAAGTTAATAATATGTTAATCTTATGTACATGTAAACTACCTGTAAATGGTATGTTCACGCGGTTAGATACCAGGGTTCGAGACACGGTTGACAATTGAACTCTGACTTGATTTACTCAAAACTGAATAAGCTACATAAGCAATAGTGAGTGAGTGAATATGGTTTTACGCCGCTTTTAGCAATATTCCAGCAATATCACGGCGGGGGACACCAGAAATTGGCTTCACACATTGTACCCATGTCGGGAATCGAACCCGGGTCTTCGGCGTGACGAGCTAACGCTTTAACCACTAGGCTACCCGACCGCCCCACATAAGCAATAGACTTGGAATAACAAATTATGACGGTACCAAAACAACGTCGAGGTTTTTTTATAGATACAGTTAGGAAACATAATTCTGTTTTCCAATTTTCATTTCACTTCTTCATCTACGTGGCTGTCATGAACAACGTCGGGGTCAGAAATAACGTAACAAAATATATATTATTTTGAAGAACAAAATACACTGTTGGACACTAATATTCCCATTATCCATTACCCATGCAGTGATTCGGACGAGAAAACAACGATAACGTACGTTTACACGAAGATGTATACATAGCTTCATCCGTGTCAGTCAGTCCCGGTGGAGTCGGGGAGGTGAGCTTCAGTCCCTTGCATTGTCCTGCGTCTCTGTTCACCAGGACGGATGTACAGCTTCCATCGTTGAAACACCGTGAGATGCATTTCACTACCCTTCTCTCAAGGCTCATCACCCAGAGTGTCTCATTGCTTGCATCACCAATGCTGTATCTAGACCTATGGAAATCACAATTGGTCACTTCAGCTTTCTTTGGAACTAGTTGAAGGAACAGAAGGAAAACAGCCCACTCTGGGAAGGATGGCATATTGACAGCTACGTCTCTCAAGCATTTGTCTCCTGGTGAGATTATGTTCAATGGGGTCGATTCATGTGTTTGGAAATCAGATAAAACAAGACAGGCTTTTGATGGAATCTGTTTTCAGCTCCTATTTTTGTTTTACTATTGTAACAGCAAACAAGAAAGTTCAATAACAGGATGCATAAATCATATGATCTCTTGACGCCTTCATCCTGTCTTGTTAAGTTTTACTGTACTGAATGAGTTATTGCTTGTTATGAGGTATCACATATAAATTGTAACCTTAAACGCGCAAAAAACAATTGACATGTACAAACGTTTGATCCATCGTCAGACTTTTAAAGAAACACAGCTAATGAACCAATATTCACTCTAAAAAGGGATTATCTCTTTACTTACCTCACTGTAAAAAACAGCGAATGCTATCTCTTTTTTTTTTGGTCTCTCTTTACAATTCATAGTCCAATGATTACTTTCGCGCGATCGGACCTAACCTCGCTCTTAACCATTTTTCCTTTCGCGGTATCGGGTTTTTACAAATTAAAAAGTTCTCGGTATCGGGGCGGATACCAATCGAGTTCGCGTGTTATTCTGTGTGGTTCCCATCTCACGTCTGTCTGTGCGTTAATTACCGTGCAGATTAAAAATGAACATGTTTCTCAGCCACCTCAGATTATATATCATTCCGTTCTTGAAAAAAAGAACATGTTTCCAACTTCTTAGTTCGCCTGCACTCAGTTCGCCTACACTCAGTTCGCCTGCACTTAGTTCGCCGACAATATAATGAGCTGATACTCTCTCACTCACTTATGAGGCAGTCCAGTGGTAACAGATAGTTAAAGGTCAGCGCTGTATATTTTATTCCAGCTGACACATGATATATTTTACTTCTGAGTGTTTCCTGTAGACTGAGGCTTTAAGCATTGTTTGGATTAGTTTGAACAATATTGCCAGATTTTGAAACGTGATCTGGATTCTCAAGGAAAAAGTAAAAGCTTTATAGTTGGGAATAATTTAAACTTAAGAAACAACTTATTCCTTGATCCATGGAGCTTTTGTTAAAACGTGGTGAACACAGATACAGTTACGTATCTATATTCAGAGGTTCAGGATAATTTTTGAAAAATGAAAGCAAATGCCATCTGAAGTTTACTGAGAAAATAATATGTGAAATGTTGGACTTCCTCATCTACGTAAAATTTTGGGGTAAGACATTTAGGCAAGGAGTAGGAATCCCCATGGGCCCTAACTGTGCTCCCGTTCTTGCGGATCTGTTTCTTTATGAATATGAATCGGAATGTCGGCTCGGATTGGCAAAACAAAGACATAAAGGAGACCAGTGAGATCGTTTCCTATTTAGATCTATGCATAGGGTAGACGTGTGGAGGACTATTTCCAACTATAACGCATATGTGACAAAAATGGTGTCCAATGCAGTTCCCTATTTTGACATGTACCATATCTTCCCGTGTTGTTTCTGGAGAACAATTGACTTGCCTTAGCATGTGTTTATAACGGGTACCAACGGTGGGGCAAGATACGCTCACCTTCTCGCGAACACCTGGTATCATTACTATTTGATAGTGATTCATAAACAAATGTTCATGATATAGTCGGATATGTTGGGCGATACATGTTCGGTGTTGAAGGTGTACGGTTTATTAACTTCCGTACGGTTGCCCTTGGCGTTGCCCGCCATTCCGCCTGAAGAGCAACCCAAACCTGGGCCGCGTTGGCGGGTGCTGGGCGTCTGACGTACCCTCGCCGCCCGAGAACATCCAATACAGATACAGACACTCCATTGGACAACCCAATCTGTTCAAGATGTGCGATTCCCCCGTCAGCCATATTGAAAAATTCTCTCCATGGCCATTCCTGACAGGTTTTGTACAAAGTGCAATGAAATTTTGTACATGTGAAGTTTGTAGTGGGGTTATCACGCGAGTGTGTTTGGAGATGGTTAATATCCTGCATAAGGAATAAACATTGTATTTAGCAAGTCTTGACGACAGTTACCATCCCCAAACACAAGCGTGATAACCTCTTTATCATATAATGTCATTCTTTAATTCTGTGCTTGAAAATCGCTTTCCATCTCTCACAAACATTACCGAAACATTGCGAGTTTTCCTGGAATGCGCGCATTAATATGTATTACGTCACAGGGTAAGTGATGTGTCAGTCGGACAGTAACAGTAGCCAGTATAGTTCCAACTGAAATCTGTTTCTTATACAGTGACGAAGCAACATATACGCAAAACAATTGTTTTTACTTGCTTTTCGTGGCAATCCATCGGTCTGTCCGCTAGAGTAACTGCCCGTTGTCAAAGGGAAGCTACTCTAACCATAGTCAATGAGACGTCACGGCCACGTTCAGTCGTTGTAAGTATGAGATTCGAATGAGAAAAAAACAAGTTCCAATTCCGAGTTGTAGAAGTATTTTATGTACATGGCACGTGCATAGTAACTTTGAATACAATGTGTAAACACATTCAAGAATGATGCATATAATTTTGTGCTATATATGGTGCTGCGTCTCCTAAAATGTAAGAAAGATAGGTTCATTTAATAGAGATGAACATATACCGCAACGTGGAGTTCAGGTCACTTGAGCAGTCTTGCATAGCTTACAACATGACATCAGGCCATCCGAGGAGGACGTCATGAGGTCACTTGAGCAGTCTTGCATAGCCGATGTCGTGACATATCTACATCCTAAGATCAGGTGAGTAGGGCCGATGTCGTGGCAGTATCTACGTCCTAAGATCAGGTGAGTAGGGCCGATGTCGTGACAGTATCTACATCCTAAGACCAGGTGAGTAGGGCCGATGTTGTGGCAGTATCTACATCCTAAGATCAGGTGAGAGGAGCCGATGTCGTGACAGTATCTACATCCTAAGACCAGGTGAGTAGGGCCGATGTCGTGGCAGTATCTACATCCTAAGATCAGGTGAGAGGAGCCGATGTCGTGGCAGTATCTACATCCTAAGATCAGGTGAGAGGAGCCGATGTCGTGACAGTATCTACATCCTAAGACCAGGTGAGTAGGGCCGATGTCGTGGCAGTAACTACATCATAAGATCAGGTGAGAGGAGCCGATGTGGAAGCAGTAACTACATCATAAGACCAGGTGAGAGGAGCCAATCTCGAAGCAGTATCTACGTCCTAAGATCAGGTGAGAGGAGCCGATGTCGAAGCAGTATCTACGTCCTATGATCAGGTGAGAGGAGCCGATGTCGAAGCAGTATCTACGTCCTAAGATCAGGTGAGAGGAGCAGATGTCGTGACAGTATCTACATCCTAAGATCAGGTGAGAGGAGCCGATGTCGAAGCAGTATCTACGTCCTAAGATCAGGTGAGAGGAGCCGATGTCGTGACAGTATCTACATCCTAAGATCAGGTGAGAGGAGCCGATGTCGAAGCAGTATCTACGTCCTAAGATCAGGTGAGAGGAGGCGATGTCAAAGCAGTATCTACGTCCTAAGATCAGGTGAGAGGAGGCGATGTCGAAGCAGTATCTACGTCCTAAGATCAGGTGAGAGGAGGCGATGTCGAAGCAGTATCTACGTCCTAAGATCAGGTGAGAGGAGCCGATATCGAAGCAGTAACTACATCCTAAGATCAGGTGAGAGGAGCCAATGTCGTGACAGTATCTACGTCCTAAGATCAGGTGAGAGGAGCCGATGTCGAAGCAGTATCTACGTCCTAAGATCAGGTGAGAGGAGGCGATGTCGAAGCAGTATCTATGTCCTAAGATCAGGTGAGAGGAGCCGATGTCGAAGCAGTAACTACATCCTAAGATCAGGTGAGAGGAGCCGATGTCGAAGCAGTATCTACATCCTAAGATCAGGTGAGAGGAGCCGATGTCGAAGCAGTAACTACATCCTAAGATCAGGTGAGAGGAGCCGATGTCGTGACAATATCTACATCCTAAGATCAGGTGAGAGGAGCCGATGTCGAAGCAGTAACTACGTCCTAAGATCAGGTGAGAGGAGCCGATGTCGAAGCAGTAACTACATCCTAAGATCAGGTGAGAGGAGCCGATGTCGAAGCAGTATCTACATCATAAGATCAGGTGAGAGGAGCCGATGTCGAAGCAGTAACTACATCCTAAGATCAGGTGAGAGGAGCCGATGTCGAAGCAGTATCTACATCCTAAGATCAGGTGAGAGGAGCCGATGTCGAAGCAGTAACTACATCCTAAGATCAGGTGAGAGGAGGCGATGTCGAAGCAGTATCTACGTCCTAAGATCAGGTGAGAGGAGCCGATGTCGAAGCAGTAACTACATCCTAAGATCAGGTGAGAGGAGCCAATGTCGTGACAGTATCTACGTCCTAAGATCAGGTGAGAGGAGCCGATGTCGAAGCAGTATCTACGTCCTAAGATCAGGTGAGAGGAGGCGATGTCGAAGCAGTATCTATGTCCTAAGATCAGGTGAGAGGAGCCGATGTCGAAGCAGTAACTACATCCTAAGATCAGGTGAGAGGAGCCGATGTCGAAGCAGTATCTACATCCTAAGATCAGGTGAGAGGAGCCGATGTCGAAGCAGTAACTACATCCTAAGATCAGGTGAGAGGAGCCGATGTCGTGACAATATCTACATCCTAAGATCAGGTGAGAGGAGCCGATGTCGAAGCAGTAACTACGTCCTAAGATCAGGTGAGAGGAGCCGATGTCGAAGCAGTAACTACATCCTAAGATCAGGTGAGAGGAGCCGATGTCGAAGCAGTATCTACATCATAAGATCAGGTGAGAGGAGCCGATGTCGAAGCAGTAACTACATCCTAAGATCAGGTGAGAGGAGCCGATGTCGTGACAGTATCTACATCATAAGATCAGGTGAGAGGAGCCGATGTCGTGACAATATCTACATCCTAAGATCAGGTGAGAGGAGCCGATGTCGAAGCAGTAACTACGTCCTAAGATCAGGTGAGAGGAGCCGATGTCGAAGCAGTAACTACATCCTAAGATCAGGTGAGAGGAGCCGATGTCGAAGCAGTATCTACATCATAAGATCAGGTGAGAGGAGCCGATGTCGAAGCAGTAACTACATCCTAAGATCAGGTGAGAGGAGCCGATGTCGTGACAGTATCTACATCATAAGATCAGGTGAGAGGAGCCGATGTCGTGACAGTATCTACATCCTAAGATCAGGTGAGAGGAGCCGATGTCGTGACAGTATCTACATCATAAGATCAGGTGAGAGGAGCCGATGTCGTGACAGTATCTACATCATAAGATCAGGTGAGAGGAGCCGATGTCGTGACAGTATCTACGTCCTAAGATCAGGTGAGAGGAGCCGATGTCGTGACAGTATCTACATCATAAGATCAGGTGAGAGGAGCCGATGTCGAAGCAGTAACTACATCCTAAGATCAGGTGAGAGGAGCCGATGTCGAAGCAGTATCTACATCATAAGATCAGGTGAGAGGAGCCGATGTCGTGACAGTATCTACGTCCTAAGATCAGGTGAGAGGAGCCGATGTCGAAGCAGTATCTACGTCCTAAGATCAGGTGAGAGGAGCCGATGTCGAAGCAGTATCTACGTCCTAAGATCAGGTGAGAGGAGCCGATGTCGAAGCAGTATCTACATCCTAAGATCAGGTGAGAGGAGCTGATGTCGTGACAGTATCTACGTCCTAAGATCAGGTGAGAGGAGCCGATGTTGAAGCAGTAACTACGTCCTAAGATCAGGTGAGAGGAGCCGATGTCGAAGCAGTATCTACGTCCTAAGATCAGGTGAGAGGAGCCGATGTCGAAGCAGTAACTACATCCTAAGATCAGGTGAGAGGAGCCGATGTCGTGACAGTATCTACATCATAAGATCAGGTGAGAGGAGCCAATGTCGTGACAGTATCTACGTCCTAAGATCAGGTGAGAGGAGCCGATGTTGAAGCAGTAACTACGTCCTAAGATCAGGTGAGTGGAGCCGATGTTGAAGCAGTAACTACGTCCTAAGATCAGGTGAGAGGAGCCGATGTCGAAGCAGTAACTACATCCTAAGATCAGGTGAGAGGAGCCGATGTCGAAGCAGTATCTACATCCTAAGATCAGGTGAGAGGAGCCGATGTCGTGACAGTATCTACATCCTAAGATCAGGTGAGAGGAGCAGATGTCGTGACAGTATCTACGTCCTAAGATCAGGTGAGAGGAGCCGATGTTGAAGCAGTAACTACGTCCTAAGATCAGGTGAGAGGAGCCGATGTCGAAGCAGTATCTACGTCCTAAGATCAGGTGAGAGGAGCCGATGTCGAAGCAGTAACTACATCCTAAAATCAGGTGAGAGGAGCCGATGTCGTGACAGTATCTACATCATAAGATCAGGTGAGAGGAGCCAATGTCGTGACAGTATCTACGTCCTAAGATCAGGTGAGAGGAGCCGATGTTGAAGCAGTAACTACGTCCTAAGATCAGGTGAGAGGAGCCGATGTTGAAGCAGTAACTACGTCCTAAGATCAGGTGAGAGGAGCCGATGTCGAAGCAGTAACTACATCCTAAGATCAGGTGAGAGGAGCCGATGTCGAAGCAGTATCTACATCCTAAGATCAGGTGAGAGGAGCCGATGTCGTGACAGTATCTACGTCCTAAGATCAGGTGAGAGGAGCCGATGTTGAAGCAGTAACTACGTCCTAAGATCAGGTGAGAGGAGCCGATGTCGAAGCAGTATCTACGTCCTAAGATCAGGTGAGAGGAGCCGATGTCGAAGCAGTAACTACATCCTAAGATCAGGTGAGAGGAGCCGATGTCGTGACAGTATCTACATCATAAGATCAGGTGAGAGGAGCCAATGTCGTGACAGTATCTACGTCCTAAGATCAGGTGAGAGGAGCCGATGTTGAAGCAGTAACTACGTCCTAAGATCAGGTGAGAGGAGCCGATGTTGAAGCAGTAACTACGTCCTAAGATCAGGTGAGAGGAGCCGATGTCGAAGCAGTAACTACATCCTAAGATCAGGTGAGAGGAGCCGATGTCGAAGCAGTATCTACATCCTAAGATCAGGTGAGAGGAGCCGATGTCGAAGCAGTAACTACATCCTAAGATCAGGTGAGAGGAGCCGATGTCGAAGCAGTATCTATGTCCTAAGATCAGGTGAGAGGAGCCGATGTCGAAGCAGTAACTACATCCTAAGATCAGGTGAGAGGAGCCAATGTCGAAGCAGTAACTACATCCTAAGATCAGGTGAGAGGAGCCGATGTCGAAGAAGTATCTACATCATAAGATCAGGTGAGAGGAGCCAATGTCGTGACAGTATCTACATCCTAAGATCAGGTGAGTAGGGCCGATGTCGTGACAATATCTACATCCTAAGATCAGGTGAGTAGGGCCGATGTCGAAGCAGTAACTACATCATAAGATCAGGTGATTGGGGACGATATCGTGGCAGCATCTACATCAAGTTTTGTGGGGCTTCCGCCAGCTGACACAGAAGTAGACGGCGACAGATGGTAACCATCTTTGCTGAAAATAAATTACCGATTATTGATTGAACAATATTAAACACACAAGTGAATGTAGAGAATTACCCTGACGAAACGTATGCCATCATTATTTTGTCCATTTGAAGTTTAACATAGCGCCAAACTTGATGTTCAAATTACATCTGAAGTATTTGAACCACTGATCAAAACAAACACACTATAAACTCTAGCTACCAATTATCCATCCATTTCCTATCTCTATGTCGTGCCAAGGGGACTTTTGGGACCAATTTTAAAATCTATATATTTTTCCTATGTAAACACATGAAATATTCAAAGCAAAATATACACAACAATCAAACTTTAATATTTAATCTGTAAAATATTTACCTTCTTATGGGCCAGTAGCACTGACGTAATCTCCATGTTAATTAGGAGATAAGCGGACTGTGTTTTCTTGTAGAGATAAATTACCCGTGCTAAACTGAGTTTGGAATTGAACGCTAAGCATATTAAAAAACTATTGAAATAATACAGCACAAAATCAGCTACTTTGCAAGTCAACGTGAAGTGCGCCCCCTAAAGATAAGGAAGCTCACATAGCAAGGCTTCGTTCTACATCGCACGTCACTATTATAACGTCACGCCGCTCATTGGGATGCATAAAATATGACGTCAGAGCTAATATAGAAAAACACAAAATTTCAAGCTTTCCATTGTTCCCAAAGCTCGGATTTTTACTGTCAAAGTAGTTTTCTATCATGTTTAATGCTCAAATATTTGCATACTTTGAATATTGTGGTAACCGCAACCCTGCATATAATGACCTATCACCGTATTAAACGTAATAAGCGCCCAGGGCGCTCTCAAAATTAGAAATAGGGGGCTCTTATTAGAATATTATTGTGGTAAAAAAACAACAGAGTTGAAAGATCGTTAATTTCGTGGTTTATGCTGACAGCCTAAAATGTTTATATGCGACAGATATATTTTTCCAGAATTTAGTGAGTGAGTGAGTATGGTTTTACGCCGCTTTTAGCAATATTCCAACAATATCACGGCGGGGGACACCAGAAATGGGCTTCACACATTGTACCCATGTCGGGAATCGAACCCGGGTCTTCGGCGTGACGAGCTAACGCTTTAACCACTAGGCTACCCGACCGCCCCATTTTCCAGAATGTAATTGCCCATAATTGCTGGTGCATATTACACACGAGTACGTATTAAACACGAATAGATAACTCTTGTGTACATTGATCAATCGGAAGGCGTGCTAATTGGGATTGTTCACTAGCCAATATATTAGCAAATATAGCCGTGGGCGTTTATAAGAGCGGGGCCCTTATTACACCGAATACGGTAATATTATTTAAAAATGATCAAATTGGATTGGTCAGTCCGAGGTTTTATTGTGATTTGATATCTCTGATTGACCAATCAGAATCGAGTAAGTTTCATATTCATGGTAGTATATTGAATATTTGCATATAACCACGAAGGAAGTTCCACAAATAATTGTTATTAAAGAGGAATCTTGTATATTAGAGTATATCAATTGGGATATTGGCGTATATTTTTATATTTCACAGATTATATGATAATGAGAAACTTATTTGTTAATAAATTATGAAAATGTGTAGCCTGTATCTGTAGCCAGCTGTATCAGAAGCCACATATCATTAGCTGTGATGTGAAGCTGATGTATACGTATCTTTGGCTATGTGACCATGATGAGCTCACCGTTGAATGAGATGGAGGGGCCTTTCCGCCACCAGTCTGCGACAGAGATGAGATACGCAGGGACCGCCAGGAACACCACAGCCAGGGGCACGAGGAACTTGACCGGCTGGTAGGCTATGGCGGTCACTGACAACGCCATGAAGAACACGACGAAGATGATTGGGAACACCAGGGGAACCTGAAACAGTCCATGTGTGATGCAGTGGAATCAGTGGATGCAGTGGGTGCAGTGGATGCAGTGGATGCAGTGGGTGGATGCAGTGGAATCAGTGGGTGCAGTGGATGCAGTGGGTGGAGTGGATGCAGTGGGTGGAGTGGATGCAGTGGGTGCAGTGGAATCAGTGGGTGCAGTGGGTGGAGTGGATGCAGTGGGTGCAGTGGATTCAGTGGGTGGAGTGGATGCAGTGGATGCAGTGGGTGGAGTGGATGCAGTGGAATCAGTGGATGCAGTGGGTGGAGTGGATGCAGTGGGTGGAGTGGATGCAGTGGGTGGAGTGGATGCAGTGGATGCAGTGGGTGGAGGGGATGCAGTGGGTGCAGTGGATGCAGTGGGTGGAGTGGATGCAGTGGGTGGAGTGGAATCAGTGGGTGGAGTGGATGCAGTGGATGCAGTGGATGCAGTGGGTGGAGTGGATGCAGTGGGTGCAGTGGTAGACTAACATTTAGCCTCTGAAATCTTATATTACACAATATCCTTCTTGACTCTAAAAATAAAAATAAAATTCCCTAAGCTGATGTGGAATAGAGCTAGCTTGAATTGGCTAGACTTGCTTTTGTATGCATTTCTAGATTATGTTTTTTTTCATAAAATAAATATATTCCACGGTCATGGTGCAGGATTAGTGCAGTGGATGCAGTGGATGCAGTGGGTGCAGTGGGTGCAGTGGATGCAGTGGGTGCAGTGCATGCAGTGGGTGCAGTGGATTCAGTGGATGCAGTGGGTGCAGTGGATTCAGTGGATGCAGTGGGTGCAGTGGATGCAGTGGATTCAGTGAGTGCAGTGGGTGGAGTGGATGCAGTGGATTCAGTGGGTGCAGTGGATGCAGTGGGTGCAGTGGATGCCGTGGATTCAGTGGATGCAGTGGGTGCAGTGGATGCAGTGGGTGCAGTGGATGCAGTGGGTGCAGTGGATGCAGTGGGTGCAGTGGGTGGAGTGGATGCAGTGGATTCAGTGGGTGCAGTGGATGCAGTGGGTGCAGTGGATGCAGTGGATTCAGTGGGTGCAGTGGATGCAGTGGGTGCAGTGGATGCAGTGGATTCAGTGGGTGGAGTGGATGCAGTGGGTGCAGTGGATGCAGTGGGTGCAGCGGGTGGAGTGGATTCAGTGGGTGCAGTGGATGCAGAGGATTCAGTGGGTGCAGTGGATGCAGTGGGTGCAGTGGATGCAGTGGGTGCAGTGGGTGGAGTGGATGCAGTGGATTCAGTGGGTGCAGTGGATGCAGTGGGTGGAGTGGATGCAGTGGGTGCAGTGGATTCAGTGGGTGCAGTGGATGCAGTGGGTGGAGTGGATGCAGTGGGTGGAGTGGATGCAGTGGATGCAGTGGGTGGAGTGGATGCAGTGGGTGGAGTGGATGCAGTGGGTGCAGTGGATGCAGTGGGTGCAGTTGATGCAGTGGATGCAGTGGGTGGAGTGGATGCAGTGGATTCAGTGGATGCAGTGGGTGGAGTGGATGCAGTGGATTCAGTGGATGCAGTGGGTGCAGTGGATGCAGTGGGTGCAGCGGGTGGAGTGGATTCAGTGGGTGCAGTGGATGCAGAGGATTCAGTGGGTGCAGTGGATGCAGTGGGTGCAGTGGATGCAGTGGGTGCAGTGGGTGGAGTGGATGCAGTGGATTCAGTGGGTGCAGTGGATGCAGTGGGTGGAGTGGATGCAGTGGGTGCAGTGGATTCAGTGGGTGCAGTGGATGCAGTGGGTGGAGTGGATGCAGTGGGTGGAGTGGATGCAGTGGATGCAGTGGGTGGAGTGGATGCAGTGGATGCAGTGGGTGGAGTGGATGCAGTGGGTGCAGTGGATGCAGTGGGTGCAGTTGATGCAGTGGATGCAGTGGGTGGAGTGGATGCAGTGGATTCAGTGGATGCAGTGGGTGGAGTGGATGCAGTGGGTGCAGTGGATGCAGTGGGTGGAGTGGATGCAGTGGATGCAGTGGGTGCAGTGGATGCAGTGGATGCAGTGGGTGCAGTGGGTGGAGTGGATTCAGTGGATTCAGTGGATGCAGTGGGTGGAGTGGATTCAGTGGATGCAGTGGGTGCAGTGGATGCAGTGGGTGCGGTGGATTCAGTGGATGCAGTGGATTCAGTGAATTCAGTGGATGCAGTGGATTCAGTGGATTCAGTGAATTCAGTGGATGCAGTGGATTCAGTGGATGCAGTGGATGCAGTGGATGCAGTGAATTCAGTGGATGCAGTGGATGCAGTGGGTGCAGTGGATGCAGTGGGTGCGGTGGATGCAGTGGATTCAGTGGGTGCAGTGGATGCAGTGAATTCAGTGGATGCAGTGGATGCAGTGGGTGCAGTGGGTGCGGTGGATGCAGTGGATGCAGTGGGTGCAGTGGATTCAGTGGGTGCGGTGGATTCAGTGGATGCAGTGGACGAGGCAAGTTTACAGAGAAGTTTCAGCGGATTCCGGGTGTGTGGTTTAGACAGAAGCATATGATTTGTGTGTTATATGCAACAACCGACAACAATCTGACTGGCACTATTGACCCCCCTTTACCTTCAAATGTTAAGATGATATGTGGGTTGACTGGTATCGAGATTCATTGGAAGGTATATGTCCGATTAGAGTTACATGGACCCTATCGTTCCTCCACCACTGCATAAATATGTGCCTCATAATTTCTCTTACACTTCATACACCTGTGCGTTATCACTCCTCTGACACTTTATACACCTGTGCGTCATCACTTCTCCATCACTTTATACACCTGTGCGTCATCACTCCTCTATCACTTTATACACCTGTGCGTCATCACTTCTCCATCACTTTATACACCTGTGCGTCATCACTCTATCACTTTATACACCTGTACGTCATCACTCCTCTATCACTTTATACACCTGTGCGTCATAAGTTCTCTATCACTTTATACACCTGTGTGTCCTAACTTCTCTAACACTTCATACACCTGTGCGTCTTTACTCTGCTATCACTTTATACACCTGTGCGTCATAACGTCTCTATCCCTTCATACACCTTTGCGTTATCATTTGTCTATCACTTTATACACCTGTACGTCATCACTCCTCTATCACTTCATACACCTGTGCGTCATCATTTGTCTATCACTTTATACACCTGTGCGTCATAACGTCTCTATCACTTTATACACCTTTGCGTCATCATTTGTCTATCACTTTATACACCTGTGCGTCATCACTTCTCCATCACTTTATACACCTGTACGTCATCACTTCTCTATCACTTTATACACCTGTGCGTCATCACTTCTCTATCACTTTATACACCTGTGCGTCATAACTTCTCCATCACTTTATACACCTGTGCGTCATCACTTCTCTATCACTTTATACACCTGTGCGTCATCACTTCTCCATCACTTTATACACCTGTGCGTCATCACTTCTCCATCACTTTATACACCTGTGCGTCATCACTTCTCTATCACTTTATACACCTGTGCGTCATCACTTCTCCATCACTTTATACACCTGTGCGTCATCACTTCTCCATCACTTTATACACCTGTGCGTCATCACTTCTCCATCACTTTATACACCTGTGCGTCATCACTTCTCCATCACTTTATACACCTGTGCGTCATCACTTCTCCATCACTTTATACACCTATGCGTTACACTTCTCTATCACTTTAAACACCTGTGCGTCATCACTTCTCCATCACTTTATACACCTGTGCGTCATCACTTCTCCATCACTTTATACACCTGTGCGTCATCACTTCTCCATCACTTTATACACCTATGCGTTACACTTCTCTATCACTTTAAACACCTGTGCGTCATCACTTCTCTATCACTTTATACACCTGTGCGTCATCACTTCTCCATCACTTTATACACCTTTGCGTCATCACTTCTCTATCACTTTATACACCTGTGCGTCATCACTTCTCCATCACTTTATACACCTGTGCGTCATCACTTCTCCATCACTTTATACACCTGTGCGTCATCACTTCTCTATCACTTTATACACCTGTGCGTCATCACTTCTCCATCACTTTATACACCTGTGCGTTATCACTTCTCTATCACTTTATACACATGTGTGTCCTAACTTCTCTAACACTTCATACACCTGTGCGCCTTTACTCTGCTATCACTTTATACACCTGTGCGTCATCACTCCTCTGTCACTTCATACACCTGTGCGTCATCACTCCTCTAGCACTTCATACACCTGTGTTTCCTCACTTCTCTAACACTTCATACACCTGTACGTCATCACTCCTCTATCACTTTATACACCTGTGCGTCATCACTTCTCCATCACTTTATACACCTGTGCGTCATCACTTCTCTATCACTTTATACACCTGTGCGTCATCACTTCTCCATCACTTTATACACCTGTGCGTTATCACTTCTCTATCACTTTATACACCTGTGTGTCCTAACTTCTCTAACACTTCATACACCTGTGCGCCTTTACTCTGCTATCACTTTATACACCTGTGCGTCATCACTCCTCTGTCACTTCATACACCTGTGCGTCATCACTCCTCTAGCACTTCATACACCTGTGTTTCCTCACTTCTCTAACACTTCATACACCTGTACGTCATCACTCCTCTATCACTTTATACACCTGTGCGTCATCACTTCTCTATCACTTTATACACCTGTACGTCATCACTCCTCTATCACTTCATACACCTGTACGTCATCACTTCTCTATCACTTTATACACCTGTGCGTCATCACTCCTCTATCACTTTATACACCTGTACGTCATCACTTCTCTAACACTTCATACACCTGTACGTCATCACTCCTCTATCACTTTATACACCTGTGCGTCATCACTCCTCTATCACTTCATACACCTGTACGTCATCACTTCTCTATCACTTTATACACCTGTGCGTCATCACTCCTCTATCACTTTATACACCTGTACGTCATCACTTCTCTAACACTTCATACACCTGTACGTCATCACTCCTCTATCACTTTATACACCTGTGCGTCATCACTTCTCTATCACTTTATACACCTGTGCGTCATCACTCCTCTATCACTTTACACACCTGTGCGTCATAACTCCTCTATCACTTTATACACCTGTGCGTCATCACTCCTCTATCACTTTACACACCTGTGCGCCATTACTCCTTTCACACTTCATATACCTGTGCGTCATCACTTCTCCATCACTTCATATACCTGTGCGTTATCACTCCTCTAACACTTCAAACACCTCTGAGCAATCATTTCTCTAAAGCCTTATTAACCTGTACAACATCACGTCTCTAACAACATATAAACCTGTGCGCCATCACTCATCTATCACATTACCTACATGGACGTCATCACCATTCTAAAATTAACTCTTAATTTGTTGAAAACGGTTACAAGAATAATTGAATATTTAATTTGCATTACCGTTTCCCACATACAAATAACAAACCTTGTACACTTCATGAGTGTCTGGGAACTTTCTCCTCAGACGCAATATGCCAATTATAGCCACAGCTTCCGGCAGAGCCCGCACGAAGGAGTAGGTCCCGATGATGCTCTTCACATCCCCCAGAGATACAACGACCAGCGAAAAGGCGAACTTAAAAGGATAAAAAGTAAGGTGAACGTTAAAACATTTGGAGTGAGTGAGTGAGTTGGGTTTAACGCCGCTTTTAACAGTATTCCAGTTATATCGCGGCGTGTCAGCTTAATGTGGGAGGAAAGCCCGAAGTGATGCAGGTCTCAGACGTTTACCACTTCGGTGAAACCAACGAGCACTTGTATGGTGCTGACAAACCTAGAAACATAATCGGGGCGAACCGGGATTCGGACCCACAATCATAGGTTTCTGGCGTGCCCAAGGGACGCAACTCTGCACAGCGAATCGCGGCGACTTAGACGACTGGGCCACCCGTGACCCCTAAAACATTTGGAAACTTTGTCTAAAAACGTTACTCAAGATCACACAGATCTGCGAGATTGAATATGGATCATAAAGCAGTCTACAGTGCTGTCACTGCCTGTAACAGAAACTGTGACATCATCGCCTGAAACAGAAACGGTGACACTATCGTCTGTAACAGCAACGGTAACAACATCGCCTGTAACAGAAACAGTGACAACATCGCCTGTAACAGAAACGGTGACACTATCGTCTGTAACAGCAACTGTGACACCTTCGCCTGTAACAACAACGATGACAACATCGCCTGTAACACGATGAACCCATCATGCAACAGTTACTGTATGAGTTTGTTTGGTCTTACAATGGAAAGAACCAAGAACTAGACTCAGGGGCTTGACACATATTTAGAACTTTATTTGGTTTTGGGGTGAGGTGGGTTGGAGTGAGGTGAGTTGGGGTTGGGTTGGGTGAGGTGTGTTGGGGTGAGTTGGGTTGGGGTTGGGTTGGGTGAGGTGAGTTGGGGTTAGTTGCTTCCTTACCACGAGTAGCACTGTTGGCATCGGCGTCCTGCTTTCAGCATTCACCATTCCCAGAAATCGAGGGAAGACATTGTCTCTGCCGCCTACGAAGTTTAACCTTATAACAAAGAACGTTAAATCTTTTCAAACGCGCAAATGCAGCCGCACCCAAAAGTGTAAACAGTTTTGTTCTGCTATCTATCACCTGGTTCGACACATTCTGCTAAACAATCACCACATTACCTTCCACTGTGCCAACTTAAGGCAACTATGTATTTGGTGCAGGAAACCACTAACATGGTCGTTTTAATAATAATGTTTACCCATGGAGTAAGATGAAGTGCAAACGTTGATATACTATCTTGAATGACAATATTATCATTGTAAACCTTTGTAAACCTGTTAACAAGCCAGCGTTAATAATCATATGATGAAAGAAGAGTGTTGATTTAAAGAAACATTCCTGAAGGTATATTCGTTGATATTACCAGAGTTGACAGTCGTATGTGAAACGGAATGGATATTGTCAAATAAAGCTGGTAATTAATATGTAAACATATGCATAGGAGGCATTGCTGATGTGGTCGACGACTATCACGCACCTGCTGGAGGTGAAAATGATGACGTTGGCGATGCCAGCAGCAGACATCCCGATGCAGGGCACCATCGCCCACTTGAGAGGGCCCAGCATTCGCTCACCAAACACCTAATTGCATTAATTGACGTTGGTTACGATTGTAAAATGTCCTCACAATGAGGCAATTGCTTTTTCTAGAAGTTATATAAGACGTCTGACGACGCGAGTTTGGTTAAGGAAGCATTATCAATCTCAATGATGAATCTTTAGGAATTGCAGCGGTCGGTGTTTGTTGTTTTATCATCTCATAGGAAAAAATCATTTAATGTAAGCAGTCGTCAGGAAGTTACTTTATTTAGAGTAATATGATAACAAAGGATGTCAACAGTTAATTGACGCTTATAGGCGATTAGCTATGAAGTATATTCACCGAAACGTTGTTGTCCATTGCTAATCACCTATCAGCTCCAGTTAACCGTTGGCTTCCCTTGTTCAGATGTTACCTTTGTTATCTTATTACTTTTGTTGTTCTTACAGGTATATGTATATGGTCTGTGCTTCGTAGCATTTATTCACCTGATGACGGATCTCTTCATTATGTGTATGATTTCAAAATGCCAAGACCTGATAGTTAGGTAACCTATTTCACAAAAGTTGAAGAACATTTTACAAAATGTAAAATTGTAATTTCTTCCGACGTAAAATCTCTCATCAACGTAAATTCTGAAGAATATAGGTATGCAACATCAAACGCGTTTTTGATGATTGTGTTGACAGATCCGAGAATCCGAAACTTTACAAGTGTGGGTTACAATTAAAATTTTGAACATTCTTTTCTTTTTGCCCCCAAGTCTATTTCCTCAATTCATGATTAGTTGTTAAAATGGAAATGCAGGCAACCCGTTCACCACATTTCCTTTCCATTAATATATACTTTTGCACACCCGATCGACAATAGTTTTATATATCAGACCGCATCTAGTGGGCAGAACGTCTTTACCAACCTTTTTCAAACAAAGTGTTACTGATCGGTCCAGAGTCAATATAATGCGTCTGAATGGGGTATCCAACAGCGGCATGGTATCTCAGAAGACTAGCATTAACACACTGGCGTAGGTCCGGACTAGTAAAAACAGCTACACACACTCACACGTGCATGCACGTCGCTTCATACGTGCAGAAATCTTGTACGCAACGTCAAACCCCATTTTACCTCGCCCAATAATAAATCACTATTTTAGATAAAAAAAACATCTTTTGAATCTGTTCATCTTTAAAACATTAAGAAGTCCACTATACATGAGGTTTATCTCCTATGACAATCTCTAGCAATGTGACTGATGTAAATGCGTTTCCCTATCCACCTTGTATGTAAACAACATGAAGAAAGACATTTTACAACTGCAACTGCAACTCCTGAGAGAATCTCCTGATTAGTCATGACTGCGTGGTAGGCGATGTTGGCCATGATGTAGCAGACGGTGGGGATGGCGAGGCCTCCAAGAATAGCTATTGGCATCGTCCTTAAACACACAGAAAGTCAACCCTGTTTGAGGCTAAATTTAAACATTTTTGTTAGATTTTGTTCTATTTTTGTTTTCAAAATACTTGAAACTTTCAAGATAAGTTTTTCAATTATTTCCCCGCACATTGACTTCATGAGGTGAAGAACTCCATACTGCTTGTTTCATCAAAAGGAATAAAACCTACATGAACGTTAAGGCAACATAAGGCGGTCCAAGCAGCTCTTAGTAGTAATTCATTCATTTCATATAGTTCAGTATATAATTGCAGGCTTGCTTTGTGTAGAAGTAAAGCCTTTAGTGACACAGCTCATAGACGTTTAATACATTTTGGAGAATCCCATAAACATTATTATGGATCAAAATCATGGGAACTTTCGGTTTCAAACGCACGACCAACGGATCCGGACATGACTAGAGGGCTTTCCAGATCCCTTGACCAATCTTGTCCCCGCGCCCAGTTGAAGTGATGGGACCTCAGATAATGTTTGAGATCAGTTGAAGTCTCTGTACGTACCTTTGTGGTTGGATGATTTCCTCCACTGCGTTGTTGATGTGATCCCTGCAGCATGAAACAGACAGTTGGAGCATACAAAGTGAGTCCTGCAGACTGACACACATATAATGAGAACATACAAAGTGAGACCTGCCGACTGACACACATATAATGAGAACATACAAAGTGAGACCCGCAGTGTGACACACATATAATGAGAACATACAAAGTGAGACCTGCAGACTGACACACATATAATGAGAACATACAAAGTGAGACCTGCAGACTGACACACATATAATGAGAACATACAAAGTGAGACCTGCAGACTGACACACATATAATGAGAACATACAAAGTGAGACCTGCAGACTGACACACATATAATGAGACATACAAAGTGAGACCTGCAGACTGACACACATATAATGAGAACATACAAAGTGAGACCTGCAGACTGACACACATATAATGAGAACATACAAAGTGAGACCTGCAGACTGACACACATATAATGAGAACATACAATGCGATCCGATTACCAATTGACATGACCAGTGCAGGATGTCACAGTTAGCACAAACTTGACCCCTGCAAAATGACACAGCGCATACATAACTCCTGCATGACGACACATAGACAGTTAGCACATACATGGTCAATGCAGGATGTCAAAGTTAGCACAAACTTGACCTCTGCAGAATAACACAGCCCATACATAACTCCTGCATGATGGCACACAGATAGTTGGCACATAAATGGCCCTTGCAGGATGACAAACACACATGAAGCACATACATGACGCCTGCATGGCGACACACAGACAGGTAGCGCATGCATGACCCCTGCAGGATGCCATACACACAGTTAGCACATACATAACCTATGCATGACGATAAAAACAGACAGTTAGCCGATACAATGTAACCCTTGCAGGATGACACACAGACAGTGAGAACATTCAATGTGATCCCTGCCGGATGACACAGGCAGTTAGCATATACATTACCCCTGCAGGATGACACAGACAGTTAGCACATACATTACACCTGCAGAATGACACACAATCAGCATATACATTACACCTACAGAATGACACACAGTTAGCATATACATTACACCTGCAGAATGACACACAGTTAGCATATACATTACACCTGCAGAATGACACACAGTTAGCATATACATTACACCTGCAGAATGACACACAGCACATACATTACACCTGCAGAATGACACACAGTTAGCATATACATTACACCTGCAGAATGACACACAGTTAGCATATACATTACACCTGCAGAATGACACACAGTTAGCATATACATTACACCTGCAGAATGACACACAGCATATACATTACACCCGCAGAATAACACACAGTTAGCACATACATTACACCACAGACAGTTAGCATACACATTACACCTGCAGAATGACACAGACAGTTAGAACATACATTACACCTGCAGAATGACACACAGTTACCATATACATTACACCTGCAGAATGACACACAGCACATACATTACACCTGCAGAATGACACACAGTTAGCATATACATTACACCTGCAGAATGACACACAGTTAGCATAAACATTACACCTGCAGAATGACACACAGTTAGCATATACATTACACCTGCAGAATGACACACAGCATATACATTACACCCGCAGAAAAACACACAGTTAGCACATACATTACACCACAGACAGTTAGCATACACATTACACCTGCAGAATGACACAGACAGTTAGAACATACATTACACCTGCAGAATGACACACAGTTACCCTATACATTACACCTGCAGAATGACACACAGCATATACATTACACCTGCAGAATAACACACAGTTAGCATATACATTACACCTGCAGAATTACACACAGTTAGCATATACAATACTCCTGCAGAATGACACACAACATATACATTACACCTGCAGAATGACACACAGCATATACATTACACCTGCAGAATAACACACAGTTAGCATATACATTACACCTGCAGAATGACACACAGTTAGCATATACATTACACCTGCAGAATTACACACAGTTAGCATACACATTACACCTGCAGAATAACACACAGTTAGCATATACATTATACCTGCAGAATGACACACAGTTAGCATATACATTACTCCTGCAGAATGACACACAGTTAGCATATACAATACTCCTGCAGAATGACGCACAAACAGTGAGACCACACAATGTGATCCCTGCATGATGACAGACATATCGGCATACAAGGCGGAATCAAACTTACCATCCTACATAGGCATACAACCCTGCATACAAGGCCATGGTAAAGTAACCAGGGTTGAGGTTGCTGATGACGAACGGGTCTCTAAAGTTTTCATTGTGACCTATAAAATTGATTTTAAATGTAAATTTTCAAAAATATGAAATAAGAGAAGTTTAAAAGAATTTGATATCACTTAATGACAAATTTACAGCCATTGAAATGTTAAGGAGATTTATAATGTTGCTCTTTCATATTTCCCCCTCAAATTATTAAGTTGCACCGCCCACTTATCATTGTCAGATTTGAGGATGCTAGGCCACCTGCTATAATGACGACAAGGGAGGTGACCTTGCAAACAGTGGACCTACCTTGTATCAGGTGATACACACCAGCTGCAATAATGACGACAAGGGCGCTGACCTTACAGACAGCAGACACTGTCTGTATTCCGGCACCAACGCGGACGCTATAACAGTTACAGGCAACGATGAACGCTGTGAAACCAAATGGAGTAGAAAGTTTATGACATAGGTATAACTCAACAGACATCTTATTTAACATTATACTTTACGTATGCCGCGATCTGCCCGATGTAATGCCCGATATGTTTTTTTAAATTTACCTATTCCTCGTGCTGTCTGATGTATTTTTCGCCAGACAATACCAAGGAAATATTTTACCTTATTCCTCGAGCTGCCCCATTAGTTCTCGACAATATACCGCGGACATATTTACATAATACTCGAGTTGCCATCGTCAGCCATCTTATACCAAGAACATATGAAACCCTTTGCTTCGATCTCGGATTCCAATCTTCGGTCATCGGATTCTGGCACAACAAAGGGATACAACTCTCTTGATTTATTGTTTGTGATGATTCACCCTCTGAGACTGCACCATCAAGAATTTTACAGCTATCAATAGTTGAAACGATTCATATGACGTTTAATACATATTTATCAAATGGGTAGTTCGTGCTTATTTGTGGGTGAACTAGAGTGCTGTAACATGACGTCTTTGACGAAATGGTCTAGATTTCCTTGAGCATTAAAAACATTTAAAGTTTTAAGAAGACATACAATTTTATTTTAACAGACTTCTACATTCCACACCTCATTTTCTGAACTGGTATGGCGTAAGGGTGTTATCAAAATTTATAACGAAAATTGGTGGCGGTGGTCAAATTTAGGGAAACAAATTAAGCACTCTTAGTCTTTAAAGTTGCATGTTAGTCTGACATGTAACACTGACCTAGTATAGCCGTGGCCAGCAGAACTTTGGCTGATTTTGGAGCCAAGTCGGGACACTCCAGGTAGAAAGGCCTCATGATGTATTCGGCAGTGACCAGGCTTCCCAATACGGCCGCTAGGGGGCGCACGACAAACAGCTGTGCCCACAACACCGTAAATCCGGCCATATCTCCAAAAGCTGCTCTTACGTAAGTGTAACTTCCGCCAGATTTCTTAATACGGGTACCTGAAACAGCAGACACAAAAACACACAATTGGAAGGATGTGTGTTGCAATATTCACCACCCCAGACAGACTAACTATAGTCATACGAAACAGTCGGGTGTTCTTTAACTTCTTTTGAGTAATATACATTACTAGAGCCACTAAAAAAATCCCCACAATAACTACCTTTCCAAACTGGAGAGCATGAAATTACAATAAGTCAATGTTGTGTTCCATGCAACAAAAGACGTCCATGGACGACATGTCCTGGATTCAGCGACAAATGCCCTATCCCCCACCACCTGCCGTGTTCAGTACTTCGAGGTAGGGTCACGGGTGGCCCAGTCGTGTGAGGCGCTGCAATTTGCTGTGCAGAGTTGCGTCCATTTGACAAGCCAGAAGCCTATCTGATTATGGGTTCGAATCCCGATACGCCCCGATTATGTTTCTAGGACCTTCAGCACCACACCCGAGCTCTTCGGGCATTCCTCCAAAATCAAACTGACACGACGTGATATTACTAGAATACTGTTGAAAGCAGCGTTAAACCCAACTCACTCTGGAGATAGATCAAGTCTGTTTTCAATAAAGAGGTTTCAAACTTAGATTCGACACTTGTAAATTTCGTAATCTAAGGTTTTGATTTTGAAAAATAGGTATTGAATCGAAGTTCGAAATTTCTATACTGAAAGCATACTAGGTTATTCCATTCAGCCATAAAACAATGGCAAAACAAACTCTGTTGTTATAGTTAACGTGATTAGTGATGTGGCATTTGTTGATCCTTATTTTCTGTAGGATGAAAGCTTGAATGCAGGAATCTGTGAAGATCCGTTTTAATCTGCATTTATGTCCCCTTTATGTACCCAAATGCTAATTTTCACCATGATAATTGAACCACTTCAATGAGACAAAAAAAATTCATGTAGGCAGATATGTTCTATAGGGGCGGCGCAGTAGCTTAGTGGTTCAAGTGTTCGCTCGTCACGTCGAAGACCCGGGTTCGATTCCCCACATGAGAACAATGTGTGAAGCCCATTTCTGTTATATTGCTGGAATATTGCGTAAAACCATACTCACTCACTCACTCACTCACTATGTCCTACAGATGGGACGCCATAATCACGATGTCATGGGATGTGATCTTTTAGGGCACTTACCTATCTCATGAAGAGTTCGGCATTGAACTATCGCCTATCCAGCTCTTTCGTTAACTATCGCCTATCTATTTCGTCACTTAACTATCACAGTTCGTCACCAAACTATTTTCCTTACCTCGCTAGACACTAAACTCCCACCTACCTAATTCGGCACTAAACTACCACCTATCTATTTCGTCACTTAACTATCACAGTTCGTCACCAAACTATTTTCCTTACCTCGCTAGACACTAAACTCCCACCTACCTAATTCGGCACTAAACTACCACCTACCTAATTCGGCACTAAACTACCACCTCCCTAATTCGGCACTAAACTCCGATCTACCTAATTCGGCACTAGACTACCACCTACCTAATTCGGCACTAAACTTCCACCTACCTAATTCGGCACTAGACTACCACTTACCTAATTCGGCACTAAACTCCGATCTACCTAATTCGGCACTAAACTACCATCTACCTAATTCGGCACTAAACTCCGATCTACCTAATTCGGCACTAAACTACCACCTACCTAATTCGGCACTAGACTACCACCTACCTAATTCGGCACTAAACTACCGCCTACCTAATTCGGCACTAAACTACCACCTACCTAATTCGGCGTAGGACAACGCTCCACAGTAGCTGATGAAGCCACAGAACACCCACACACAGAGGGAGAGCCCAACAGACGCCCCAGCACCAGACAGCACCGAACTTGGGCTGACGAAGATGCCGCCTCCAATGATGCCGCCGGTGACGTAGCTAATGGCGCTGATGATGCCGAGCTGCCGCTTGAGTCCTACTGTCATGTTGCTGATGCTGCAAAAGTAAACGATCAGTGAGAGTGGGTGAGTTTGACGTGATTTGTATTAGTACTTAAGTCGGGGCGGACAAAGGCCTACTGGGACAAAGGTTTCCAGTAATATTTGACTTGCACCATATATTCGGGTTTTATTTCAGGTGAATAGTAGCATTGCCTTTGCGTGTGTTTTTGACGGGGTCCACCAGTGGGGTAGTATACGCTCTCCTTCGCCTGGTGTCATCACTATTTGATAGTGATACATAAACACATGCTCATGATATTGTCGGAATCGTACAATCAACTCTGCTTTTATTTAGGAATATGGAAAGGGTTATGTCGCTTTTATTTACACATTTTTGCCCCGCGTAATACTTGATTCCAACCCAATGCGTTGGACATATAACTCGAAGATGCCGTTTAAAGGCAGCATGCTGGTTTCTCTGGTTGATATCCTTACAGTTTACTCACCTGCTATATCGGCATGGATGAGATCAACTGCTTCGTTGCTTTTCCTAATTGGTAAAGTAACAGCCGTCATTCATAAAATTGTGAGAGAATTGACTGTTTCAAATAACGTTGACGCTGCGTATGACGAGTTTGTTAGTTTTAGGCATCATGAGTTAGATAGCGTGTGTTTAACACGACAGTCAGTAGGGAGAACGCCCAATGCTAAATCTAAATACAAACCTTACTGGTGTGATGAGCTTCAGGAGAAATGGGACGATCTGTGCACGGCAGAGCGTATTTGGCTGCGGGATATGTCCACGGTTAACGGTAGGAAACTTAAAGAGATTTACGTGACGAAACGGAAATTCTTTAATAGACTTTTGAGAAAACATAAACGCATCCACCAACTTCTTGAACAGCAGCGGCTGCTCGATAGATTTAAAGGCGAGGATTCTCCATCATTTTGGAAGGCTATAGGTAAGAGTAACGATAGGCATTCCAGCGTCCCCTGTGAGGTGTTAAAAGATGACAAGTTGAAGAGCTTAGAGCCATAAGGGCCAATGTTATGTGGAGTCTGTTTTGAGAAAAGTGATGAAAACACATAATATTATGCATGTTAATGAACTTTTTTTTCACCGATAAATTCCTAGACATGAATGCATTCTGACAGCAGAGATATAAATGTTGGTATAAAAAATCATTCAAAAAAGGAAATAAACTTATGTTTTTAATTTGTGTGAGGGTGGAAAGGGCCAGTGTCTGTATTTTGGCCCTTTTTGACCCTCGGGCATTTGCATGAGATTTACCATGTGAGATTGATAAACTACTACTAAAAGTACAAACACATGCTATTGAAGTACTTTTAAATGATTTAAACTAATGCCAACTTTGTTGAAATAGTTGAAATATGATAAAAAAAGTTCCAAACTTTCAAAATCTCTCTCAGACAACCAGTCTCAACCACACACGGAAATGAGAGCTAAAAGGGACAAAATCTGACAAAGTGACTTTGTCCCTTTTGAAACTTGACTTTTGCCCTTTTATAGAATTTTAAGTAGCTATATTTCAAAAACGCATCAATGAAAACATACAATATTTTTTCTACAGGTAGACAAGAACTCATAGATGTTATTTATGCAATAATATGCAAAAAGGTCCAAAGTGCTTTTTGGCCCCTTTTAGCTCTAAGCTCTTCAGTTGTGTACTGACAAAAATGTTGTTCTTGACAAATGGCAATCCGATTACAGTTTTTTTTTAGAGGAGGACTTGCCACAATTTGACCAGCACCACTTTGAAAATGTCATCGACGATGTAAACAACCGTAACGCGAGAGACAATCCCGTGTATGACACTACTGACCTAGATTCACCGATAACGTGTCAAGAGATTGAAGCCGCAGTCGCATGTGCTAAACGTGGCAAGTCGGTCGGTCCCGACTCGATACCCACTGAACTTCTTAAGAATAAACACTGTATTTACATTCTTTTTAAATTGATTTCTTATTGTTTTAATAACAACGTCTGTCCAACTATTTGGCGGTCAAGCGTTATAAATCCGATTAAGAAACCAAATATGACCCACTTGGATATAGGGGAATCTCATTGCTATCAGTACCGTGTAAGATATACGCCGATATTCTGAACTGTCGACTTAGTCATTGGTTAGAAGAAAATCTAAAAATGAAACGAGACTTACCTGTAAGTTGAAGGTTGACTGTGGTTCTATCAGCTAATCTTAAGTAATGGAGGGATTACATTAGATTACAATGCGCATGCGCGAGTCAGACTTTAAAGTACGAGTGTGTATCAGAAATATTACTTATACCCAGAAAAAAGGGTGGGAATCCACGGGAGGGCATGTAATCCCTCCATTACTTAAGATTAGCTGATAGAACCACAGTCAACCTTCAACTTACAGGTAAGTCTCGTTTAACTTTTAGATTCTATCAGCTAATCACGTAATGTTCGAGATTCCATGAGATTTTAAACACTGATATACACTGGTATGAGCTGGGAATACACCATAAGTGGAAACCTTTATTCCAAATATGAAATAAGAATGGCAATGTTCAAAAGAGTTTAATTGTTAAATGTATTGTTCTCAAATACAATGGTAGTGAAGGTAGCTACCCTTGACAATATAACCATCATAAGTCGCACATAAGCATTGTGTACACTGACTTAAAAGTACATTGAATTGACTGACAATTCCTGCCAGCTTTTCCAACCCAGCAATATTTACTCAATCACACTGCCCAACACTGCTGATTCAAACAGACCTATGTCCCTTACAATAGGCTTGTGATAGAATGTGGCAAATGTTCTCTCTGATGACCAATCAGCCTTTTCTAAAATGTTTGAAATGGGTACAGATGCACACCTCGCTGCAGAGGTGGAGGCAGCACGAATACTATGGGCTTTAAATACCTGAATGTCCACACCAGACTTATAGAGTCCGAGTTTTGTCCATCTTGCCAGTGTGTCTCTTGACACTGCATTGTGAGGCCTAATGTAAGTTATAAATAGTTGTGTAACCGATCCTCTGATGCTCTCAGTTCTGCTGAGGTAACACTTCAAAGTGTTCAGTGGGCAAAGTGACTCGTCATGAGAATAGGCCCTGACTTCAACTGGTTTAGGTAATCTACCTGGTCTACACTGCTTGACTAATTTGTCAATATGAAATGTAAACAAAATATCATCCTATATCCCGTCCAGTGACGTAACCACAGTCTTCCCTTTGGGCAACTGGGTTGACCATAGTGGGTTGACCATGACTGGGTTGACCATAGTGGAGCAATAACAAGAGCATCTGCTTTATCTGACTTTATTTTCTGCAAGCACTTAGACAAGAGACAAAAAGGTGGGAAGCAATAAATTAGCTCTTTTGACCATGACAAACTGAAAGCATCTACAGCTTCGGCTTCAAGCTCCGGCCGCCAACTGACAAAACGTGGAAGCTTCGTGTTTAAACGTGAAGCAAACATATCTATGGCTGGATTCACATCAAAGTGTTCAAGGATTTTCTGAAACACAGTTTTGTCCAAAGACCACTCAGTTCGCTCAGAAAAATTTCTTGACGCTCTGTCAGCTTCAACATTTGTCAGTACCGGCACATGAGCCACTGTCAACCACACACTATGTTCTATACACCAGAACCAAATTTCCCTTGCAAGATCATTACAAACTTTAGATTTTGAACCTCCCATAGCTTTTAAGTAAGCCACTGCTGTAGTATTATCACATAAAATGTGGACATGTTTTCCTTGAAATGACTCAGTCAGGGAGAAAGCTTGAATGGCTAGATAGACAGCTTTCATTTCTAAGGCATTGATATGGAGCTGCTTCTCCTGGAGTGACCAACGCCCTCCTATAGACTTCTTGTTATTACAAGCCCCCCATCCCAATAGATTAGCATCAGTACTAATTTTTATATCTGGCTCGGAGGAAGTTGTAATGTGTTTCTCAGCACCCATGGCATTGTCCTTCCACCATTTTATTTCCTGCTTAGCATCCTCTGATAATACCATCATTGCATCAAAGTCACCATAATTATCTTGAAGTGCCTCTGTTTTTTCCCTATCTAGTTGTTTGTAGTGCAGTGGTCCGAAAATGACAGCATGGAATGTGCTTACAATTAGACCTAGCAACTGAGCCACTGTCCTTACAGAACATTGTTGCTGAGTCAAAACTAAATTACATTTAGTTTGGATAGCCTGAGCTTTGTCATCTGGTAAAGCCAGTGTCATTTTCTCTGAGTCAATGCCTCTGCCGTTCCCTAAAAAAGGCGTACCATGGAAATATCTGCCTCTGCCACGGACTCTCGCCCATCTGTTACCACCATATGGATAGGGTTGATATCTATGCCAACCACGGCCTCTTCCATGTTCATAGCTAGTAGCCTTGTGACCAAGTTGAGTTGACATAGCAATGTCTTTCAAGTGTTTGGCCACATCCTCCCCGAATAGGTAATCTGAACTTGTCGGAGCACATGGGGTACACAGTGCACGATAATGATCATTCAACTGTGGTTTTATCAGTTCCTTCCTTCTGAGGTTTAATTCTCTATGGACATACGCCGACATCGTAAGTGAGTCACTCAACTTGGAAACAATATCTCTTAACAAAGTGGCTGGCACCTCTTGCTTGTGAGCAATTAAACTGTTCAGTGTATTTGTCACCGCTATGGTCGACTTTATCATACCACTCTGGACACGCTGCATTTTTACGTCCATCGAAAGTGTGTCAGATTGCAGGGAATCCCATATTAGCTTGTTAATTTCGGGCGTGTTCAAATCTGAACAGTTAGCTGGCTTTTTCAGACCGCATCATCAAACTTGGTAGTGAATACCTGATGAACCAATTCAGCCAGTTTGGTGTCAATTGGGTCCCCATCAGTCGTTGTTATGGGCAGAGTTTCTCTGATGAGGTTTACAACTTCTAAACCGGAAGGATCGGCACTGATTTCGTTATGCGCATGCACGACGTCCTCACTACTAAGTAGTTCTGTTGGTACATGTATGTCAACAGACTGCGTTTCGTAGATTTTCACAGTATGTGCCTGACTTGGCGGA